GTCAAAATTTGTTAGGATATATAATATAAAGGTTGTTGAAATCTCTTTTGTTTAAGAGAATCCATTAGTAAATCAAATTCTTGAAACATAAAACCTCTTTCCATTAAGAAATTTAAATACGTGTTTCAAGAAAAAAAACATTCCTATGATAAACATGTTTCCATGTTCATCTAGATATCTACCTAATTAACAATTTTGAAAATAATATCTTTTACAAATAAATTATAGTATATTATATTATTAAATATAAATATTCCGTATAATATTTTGGATATCTACTATAAATATAAATAACCCAAAAATCAATTACTCCACAAATCAATTTCATATCGTGAGAAAAAAAAAATCCTTCTCCACGTATCAAAAAATAAAAAATAAAAAAATTGTCATGGAGCAATTAGGCTTGATAAGTCAACTCACAGTTAATATGGGCTTCAATCTTATATTAGCTTCAATCTTAGGCTAAGAGCCATACGCATTTTCAAGAGATCATTCCAAAACGATTGAGAAATACTTTTCCATGATATACAGGTAAATATATTGCAATGAATTTTTGTTTTGATAATTGTTTACGTTTTTTTATTAACTCAATAACAATGTTTATTTGTTGGGTAGGGATCACGAATAACGGGTATAGTTCGTGGTGAGCCCATATTTGTTGGATTGCTTGAGGAGGGCGGGGTCTACATATTTACCAACTACCGACTAGAGCTAAACGTTGGTAACTTTAGATCTACTAATGCAGACTACAAAGTTATAATTTATGAGGATACTCAGGTCGTTCACGTGCTATCTACTTTCCCTACATGGGAATTCGACTTACATAGTTTTGCATTTCTTCAAAATGATGACATTGTCGACGAGTCAATCCTATATGGTACATCTTTTATTTATTGGTGTATTTGAATTTTTTTCAATTATACTTTTTTATTGTTTGATTTGATATATTAATTAATAAAATATTACATAAGTTTTCTACTAATATCAATTGTAGATGCTATTGGTATGGTTGTTGAAGTTCGACCCATTAATTTATATTTCATAAATGGAGAAGAAAAACAAGGAATATTTTTCAATGATGGATTTAAAGTAAGAAATATATGTATTACATGAATTATGTATTTGTAAATTGTATGAACAATTCAAGATGTTAACTTTTTTTTTTTTATTAATTAGTGGATTAGTGTTGCGTTGCGAAGTTTGGGGTGAATATATTCAAGACTTTCTTTTTTGTGAAAATTACTTCCAAGCTGCGGACGATGGAGAACCATGGGTTCTCATCATGCAATTATGTAGGATAATAAAAAATATTGCAGGTATTTCGAATTTGTGTTTTTTTTTTATATTATAATATAAAATAAATAATGATATTATATATAATTTAAATTACAATTTAACATATATTTTTGTTTTGCAACAGGTGAGTATCAATTGAGTTCATATCTGAATGTGACACGCCTTTTTGCTTCTAATGTTTTGGAAATTATACATTTTCGCACCAAGTAAGTGTTCGCGAACAATTGACAGTTTATTTTATTTTTGAACTTTTTATATAGATGTTGTATATATTTTGTGTATATATTTTCAATTATCATTTTGTTATTTAATTAATTTATTTAATTTTTTCATATATTTTATAAAATTGTGTACACAGTTTTCTAAGCAGCAAATGGTATAAGCCAAATATGTACGTCACCAACTCCAAGATTGTGATGAAGAGCTGAATAGAAATGCATGACAGTGGGGATAGGAAGAGTGATAATTGTTGCCGTGCTGTGAAGAATTATTTTATTTCGCTTTTTATCGATTTCATTGTTGCGTTTTCAATTTTTCAAATAATTTAGTATTGCTGTTCAATATCTATGACATTTTGTTTTATTTAAGCCGATTAATGCCTACTCTATTTTATTATTGTTTTGTTATTACTTTTAAATTTAATGTAATATAAATTTCTTCATATTAATTATTCGTGGAATTTATTTTTTAAGGTAATGGTGTAGCAATTTTAATATTATTTAATATAATTAGATAATTATATAAAATGTAATTGAACTTTTAGATGAGTACACAAATTGATAAGTACTAATAAATTTTGACCACATCTCTAATTAACTTACCCAATAAGATAAACATCACTCATATAGAAGAGGAGATAAAGATCAACTATATTCACGTGAGTATATGCCACCTTTAATTTCACCGGATTTTGTGTTACACAATAAAAATTAAAAGTCGAGATAAGTCCAAATAACGGCCGAAGAAGTTGTGAAAGTCACGGCTTTTTCATATTATTTTATATAATATTATATAATTATATACAAATTAATTGAAATCTTAGATAAGTACACAAATTGATATTGATAACTACTAATAAATTTAGACCATATCTCTAATTAACTAATTGATAAGTACTTTAAATTTAAAACATATCTTGAGAATAATTTAAAATTAATTATGTAAATGACGGCTATAATTTATTTTGTTCAACTTACACGAATAATATGATGTTATATCAGATAGTATTAATAAATATTGACCACATCTCAAACTATGTAGCTTACGGCTCTAATTGTTTCTTTTCAAATTATTTGCAAAATATCATTTACTTACCTAATAAGATAAACATCACCATATAAGTACGTATAATTTAAAGGGACACGGTTGGTTGTGACAAAACTATCCGCTCATGTTATTGAGTGTAAGATACTCACTGGCGATCATGAGGGCGATAAGGTATTGATTCCTAAAATGGCTATAACTCCTTCCGATGTCATAATTCCTTTCAAGTTCCAGAGGCGACAGTTTCCTGTTTTGGTATCGTATGCAATGACTATGAACAAGAGTCAGGAACAATCGCTATCCCATGTTGGTTTATTGCTTAAGAAGCCGGTGTTCAGTTATGGACAATTATATGTTGCCGCCTCCCGTGTCACAAATCGAAGTGGGTTGAAGATATTAGTCTGTTATGACGATGACTTGCCACCAAATCAAACCCAAAACGTTGTGTACAAAGAAGTGTTTACTAATTTATGAAGTTTTAAATTTGTTATTTTCCATTTTATATATGTTATGTATCCACAAAGTGCATTAAATTTAATGTTGATATATAAAAAAACCCAAATAATATACCAGCCCGTGCATCGCACGGGTCAGTACTAGTTATATAAGAAGAAGGAAGAGGGTTAGTATTTTTTTTATTTTTTTTTATTTTTTTTTGGTGCACGGGCGCTATCAGTTGATTATAGTAAGGATTAAAAAATATTGAAAGTCGGTATACTATGAAAATAATTATTATCTATTATGAAAATTTTTATTGTAAATGACATTATATATTTTTCAATTGGTCTTCTCTGTATAACAATATTTATATCTTTTTTAGATTGGCCATTCAGTATAACTGGATATCGTCAGAAATTTCATTCAATAATACATTACATTTTAAAACTAATAAATTATAGTAACACATTACTTAATAAACATGGGTCACAACAAAATTGTAAAGTTTTACTCTTAAAGAGTCAATTTTATACATATCACTATTATTGCATGTAACATTTTAGTTGAAACTTTTGTTAATATTTTTAACATGGGTTAATTGAAAAATAAACCCCGATCTTTCGCGTTTTGCCAATTTAATCTAAACTTTTGAATAATTCCAGATAAATTCCAACCTCGCTCCATTTTGGCAAAACACACAAAATACTGACTGGAAATTATATTTTTTTGCCATTGCCAGCCATTTAAGATGATGTGGCCGGTCTATCATATTGATCTATGGGTATAAAAAAAAGAAAAATGCTATAGTCCCGTTATGGAAACATTCTGTCCGGACTTGTAACTGTTAGATCATCATGTAACCGTCGTGGATTTGATCTAACGGTCACAAATCCGTCGGAATGGTTCCGTAACGGGACCTTAGAATCTCCCATAAAAAAAGCCATAAAGTTTTTATGCACTAAAATAAGAGGGCAATAATCTTCGTCCTCTATTTTCTTTAAATCTTGGTTAAGTTTGGATTACAACTAAACTACGGGGAACAAGATATAAGTAGCAAATATACAATAATGCTAAAGAGTCAACAACTAATGAGACAGTTCCATGTGGGATTGTCTCACATGGCTTCAATGTGAAACAACCTTACATGGAACTGCCATTGATTGTCGGCTCCTTAACATTACCAAGCAAATATAATTATCTAATAATTAAAGTTGTCAACAATTCTATCAAATTGGCGCCAAAATACTAGAAGTGACTTGATGCATTCAAACTCGGAGGATATCATATATGATCAACCCAAATTTGATATGTATATCTAATTATACCATTTCTAAAGAGACACACCACTTTTATTGTAATCACAATCCTATATCTTCGTCCCCATCATTTGCACGTTTTCTCCCTATAAATCTTCCCTCGTAAACATAAAATATCATCACACATATTTTTTTTTTTTCAATTTTTTTTTTTTTAAGCAGCCATGCCTTTTCCCAGGTTTTCAAATTTTCTTGCTCTGTTGATCCTTTTTGTTTTGTTCCAGAGACAAGCTTTGGCCATAAAAAAGGTTAACATTATCCCATAAATTCATTTTTATGTTATTATTATTAATTTAATTAATTAATTAATTATTATTATTATTATTATTATTATTATTATTATTTGACCTATTTGTTCGATCAGTCATATGTTGTCTACTTGGGGGAACATAATCATGGCCCGGACGTGACCACTGCCGATTACCAGCGAGTGAAAGATTCACACATTGAGCTGCTCACTTCATTCTTGGGAAGGTACTGGCAAAAAAATTACTATTGTAAAATATTGATATATAATGGGGAAATGCTACCGTCCCGGAACCAATTTATAACCGTTAGATGATCATGTAACCGTCGTGGTTAGTTGATTTAGCGGTTACAAACTTCGACGGAATGACTCCGTAACGGGACCGTAGGATCACCCTATATAACATGTGTTCTCGTTAATGTGATTTGTTGTAAAATTTATTTCATGCAGTGAGCAAAAGGCTAAAGATTCAATCTTTTACTCATACAAAAGAAACATAAATGGTTTTGCAGCAGTTCTTGAAGAAGATGAAGCTGCTCAGATTGCTAGTATATAAATATATTATTATTATTATTATTATTATTATTATTATTATTATTATTATTATTATTATTATTTTATTATTATTATTATGTGTTTTTTACTTTAATTTTTATTAATTTTTTGCTGGGCACAAATACAGAGCATCCAGGCGTGTTATCAGTATTACTGAACAAAGCGTTGAAGTTGCACACGACTCATTCATGGGATTTTCTTGAGCTTGAAAACGACGGTTTGGTTAGACCGTCTTCCCTATGGGAAAAGGCTAGATATGGTGAAGATACTATCATTGCAACAGTTGATACGGGTAAATAAATAACTAAATTCCGGAGTAGTCGGTTCCCCTGTGGATCCAGAAACCGGAAGGTCCCCGTACCAAAAAAAAAATAATAATAAATAAATAAATTCCTTATAATTGCTTTTTTACTTTCTTGGTTTACTGAGATTTCATTCAATTGTTAATGACTAATTAGGAATTTGGCCTGAATCAAAGAGCTTTAATGATGATGATGGGTTTGGTCCAATTCCTTCAAAGTGGAAAGGAATATGTCAGTTTGAAAACCATAAACATCTCTGCAATAGAAAGCTGATTGGGGCAAGGTACTTCAACAAGGGCTACGAAGCCGACCTCGGCAAGCCCCTCAACTCGTCCTTCCAACACGCGCGCGACTTGGAAGGCCACGGGACCCACACCCTCTCGACAGCAGCCGGCGGGTTTGTCCCGTGGGCCAATGTGTTTGGTGCCGCCAACGGGACGTCCAAGGGCGGGTCCCCGCGGGCCCGCGCGGCAGCCTACAAGGTGTGTTGGGACGTGGGCGATGACAACGTGTGCTTAATGGCTGACATCATGAAGGCTATCGACGTGGCAATCGATGATGGGGTCGACGTGCTGTCGTTGTCCCTCGGCGGGTTCGCCGCCAGCTATTTCGAAGACGGCCTCGCCATTGCCACTTTTCACGCCGTGCGGAGAGGGGTTGTCGTGGTGGCCTCGGCTGGCAATGACGGGCCGTTTCCGGGGTACGTGTCGAACGTGGCCCCGTGGATTATAACTGTCGGGGCAAGCACGATCGACCGGGAGTTTCATGCCGATGTTGTGTTGAGGGACGGACGTGTGTTCAAGGTATTTTTTTTTTTTTTTAATTGTAAAATTTGCAGTCTGACTGTTAGACTAGTCGACTCATCCTACCTTAGGAATGAATAAACTAGAATATGAATGTTTTGAAAAAGAGTTGAATTGTAGTCTACTGTTAAGCGAGTTGACTCATCCTATCGTAGAAATGAATAAACTAGTAGTATATGAATGTTTTGGAAAAGACGAGTTGACTCATCCTACCTTACGAGGAATGAATAAACTAGTATATGAATGTGTTGGAAAAGAGTTGAATTGTGGTCTAACTGTTAAACGAGTCAACTCATCCTATCTTAGGAATTTGGTATCTGAACAATTGAAAAACTAAACAAGTTTATGAATTGAAGAATTTATTATGGGGAACAAAAAATGAATTTATGGGATCAAGTTTTTAGTGGGAAATGAGAAACTGAAATTGAAGAAATATTATTATTATTTTTTTTTAATCTCTGCAATTCTTCTTAATGCAATACATCCAGGGATTACACACACACATACATATATATAGTAGTTAGAGGAACAATCTAGAGCACTAATTATTGCAACAACTAACTAATTTCTTCTTAACTTCTAACTAATTTCATAAATAAGCATTAATTATTTTTTAACACTCACCCTTAATGCTCATTTGAATAATTCGAAGTTTTTCACACATAGCATTCGATGTATATTTATATATATTAATTCGATATATTAATTCGATATTTATATATATATATTTATATATTTTTAATCTCTTCAATTCTTCTTATGCAATACATCCAGGATTACACACATATATGTTGTAGACTAGTAGTTAAGGAACAATTTAGAGCGCTAATTATTGGAACAACTAACTGATTTCTTCTTTAACTTCTACCTAATTTTATAAATGAGCCTTAATTATTTTTAACAAGAATGAATAAACTAGTATATGAATCTTTTGGAAAAGAGTTGAATTGCAGTCTAACTGTTAGGCGAGTCGACTCATTGTACCCGAGGATCGAAATTTGTCATTTGATGTGTTTGCACTTGTTGTAGGGTGCAAGCCGTTCGAAGCCATTGCCGGAGAAGAAATTTTATCCTCTAATCAGCTCTGTACAAGCTAGAGCTCCCAATGCAAGCAAAGCGGACGCGTACAATATTCATGCTGATCTCTCTATTTGTTCCCCTTATTATTTATGTTACTTTGAATTGATATATACTTGTAAAGTTCAATGAAACATTATTTGGTAGCTAACATCGAATTAATGTTGTTCGGTTTTCGGTCTCAGTATACTGTGCAAGCCAAATTCGTTGGACCCAAAGAAGTCGAGGGGAAAGATTGTCGTTTGCCATAGAGGGGAAAACCCACGTCTTGAGAAGGGACTAGTGGCGGCACGTGCAGGGGCTGTCGGTATGATTCTAGCCAACGACGAGATGGATGGTGCTGAGATCTTAGCAGACCCTCATTTGTTACCAGCCACACACATTAATTACACAGATGGCCGTGCTCTATTTGCTTATGTAAACAGTACAAAGTATGTAAACTGAGTAGCCATGCACCAAAAAAACTTTTCATACATATTTGCTCATTCATATACTACTTACATGGACAAAAAAAATTTGTTATTTTCAGGAATCCAGAGGGCCTTATTAGGCTTCCAAATGTTCTGCTTAAGAAGAAACCAGCTCCAGTCATGGCCGACTTCTCGTCCAGGGGACCGAATTCCGTAACCCCTGAGATCCTCAAGGTTTATTAGTTAATTACACTATTCATTTTATTCTACATTTTGGTTTCGATACTAAATAACAATACGTACAAACACTAATCCGTCCTAATTCTTTGCTTTTCTCTCCAGCCTGATGTTACGGCTCCTGGAGTGAACATAATAGCATCGTTTAGCGAAGCTGCAAACCCAACCGATATGGACTTTGACCACCGAAAGACTCCTTTCAACATTTTGTCCGGGACTTCCATGGCTTGTCCCCATGTTTCGGGTGTTGCGGGCCTTCTCCGGTCATTGCATCCCGATTGGAGTCCGGCCGCAATTAGATCTGCCATCATGACAACCGGTAAATAAAAATAAAATAAAAATAATAATAAAAAAAACTCTGCTCAACTGTTATAGGATGTGATCTAGCTTTTGGTGACTTGTGATTGGATTTGTTGTTTTTCACGAGCAGCGAGGACACGCGACAACACGGGTAAGCCATTGCAAGACTGGAACCAAACGAAGGCCACGCCGTTGATGTACGGATCGGGCCACATCAGGCCCAACCGGGCCCATGACCCGGGCCTGGTCTACGACCTGACGGTGAATGACTACCTCGACTTCCTGTGCGGGAGCGGCTACAATCAGACGCTTCTCGCCCACTTCACCACATCGCACTACGACTGCCCGACCAACTACAGCGTGCTCGACTTCAACAACCCGTCAATCATGGTCCCACAGGTCAACAGCTCAGCGACCGTGACTCGGAGGGTGAAGAATGTGGGCCCGCCCGGGAAGTACACGTCGCGGGTCCGCCAGCCTCCAGGATTCATGGTCTCGGTCGAGCCGAAGGTGCTCGAGTTTAAGGAAGTAGGGGAGGAGAAGGCGTTTAAGGTGACCTTAAAGGCTAAAAGAGGTGTGAAGAGTGATTATTATTATGGGGAGCTTTTGTGGTCTGATGGTAGGCATTATGTGAGGAGTCCAATAGTGGCTGATCTGAATTACCTAAACAATTAGTTTAGGTCATGTTTTTGTGGGGATCGTGAAAATAAGATAATAAGGCCCTTACATTATTTGCAATCAAGGTGAAAGAAATTTAAAAATGGAGTAACCAACTCAATTAAGGCATAACAAACTATGATTTATGAAAAACTACAAAGGAGAAAGGGAAAAAATATATATATATATATATATTTATTTATTTATTTTTTTCATTTGACATTTATAAAGAAACTAATTTCCAGTCATCTCTTCTCACAATCCTCTTTTAAATAAGTGTTCCACTGGGAATTAGTGCATCCTTGATTACAGTCACAATGCCGCTCTTGATGAAATAACCATCAGTCTCTCTTGCCGCCTCTTGCACATTGTCACTGTTAATGATCTGTTTTACGAATAATCAATCGTAAAAGCAGTGGATGATAGGTCAAAACGGTTTGAAATGCGAAGAAATCTTTTACCACATGAAATTTCAGACATCGCACCCATACAGAAACTCCATCACATCATAGTAAACAAATTTTACCTTCACATCGTCTCCAATGCGTGCATTTTTATCGATAATTGCCCGTTTAATGTGAGAATTCTTGCCAATTCCGACCGGAACCCCTCCTTTAGCAGCAAGGTATCTTCTGGCAGCATCAGTCTGGTGCACCAAGCAATGAAGCAGTTGATTATAGTTTTATTATATTTGAAGCACACGTTTTAAAAAGACTGAGCTAACCGGTCATGATTACCTATTGTTGAGTTAACCAGCAAAATTTACCTCATAATAGTCTGCTCCCATCAAAAGTGAGTCCTCTATGATTGCACCCTCCAATATGCACGACCGCAGGCCAATCACAGAGTGGTGAATCTTACAGTTCTGAAAAGTTTTAAAAAGAATTAAAAATTTGAATCAGTTTTTAACTTTTTTTGTAGTGTTGGAAATCACATGAAAAGAAATCATCACGGATTAAAAAACTCTTACCTTGATGACACAACCCTCACCGATGACACTGTCGGTAACATCGGCATTGAGCATTTTGGAAGGCGGCAAGTAACGTGGTTGCGTATAGATTGGAGCCGAGCGGTCATAGAAGCTGCATGTTTGTGTACCAAATGCATATATAATTGGACAAACAGAACAAAAAGGAAATGGATTTGGCGCATGAGAACTAGGTAGAGAATGCTATAATTTAGTCCATCAAATCCAATTCACCTGAAATCTGGGATGGGTTTCTTGGTAATCCCTAAATTGGCATTGTAGAATGCCTCGATCGTCCCGATATCTTCCCAGTAACCATCATACAGATAGGCCTGGACCTGAAAGCAGACAAGTTGTAAAGGAGGACAATGATAAGAGGAATAA